GATCAAATAAACACACATAAGTGACAGATAAAATATTAACAATGCAAAAGAGAAAAATAATTAGCAAAAGTTGCATTCTTTGCGGTAGTCAATTTTCAAAGTTGCAATATCGAAAGTAATACAGGGAAAATTTAAGAGTTTGCAATAACCGAGGAGTTGCAATATTCGAGGGTTGCATTAATCGAGATCATACTTTATTTATATAACTTGTAAAATAATTGTAACAAGTGTTTTATTCATTAAAGTATGAACATATGAAATATAATTAAATATTTAAATTAAATTTGATTTTTAAAGTCAATTATGACTATTAGAATTATGACCAATGAAAGTATTTTCTTAATAGAAACTATTTCGTAATAGAAATAGCTAAAAATCTATTAGAAATTTAATGCATCTTAAATACAATTTTATTGTTTCACTATTATTTAAAAATCTAACTATAAAACTTATGGCGGTCTACTATACTCGTGATCACCTATTAAATTGTCAGGTATATCAGAAAAAGATTCTTATAGCACTGAACAATCAAGCAGTTATCAAAACCATGCAAAAGACATAGTCAACAGTTGTAACGAAGTGCATGGAATGTGCTCATTGAAATGAGGTAACAGTCATGTGGGTTAAAGAGCATATCGGTATTGAGCAAAATGAAGAGGCAGATGAAATTGCAAAGCAAGAATCAAGCCATAACTTCTGCGGCCCAGAGCCCAGAATACGATTTGACTACAACATGACTGCAGCCAATGTCGATAAGTAGATAACTTCACTTTATCTTAATAGATGGAGAGAGATGAACATTTGTAGGCAGACTTAAGTCGTGATGCTTAGGAGTACTCTAAGCTGACTGACCTTATTGATTACGGGACTTAGAAATTTCAAGTATCACATTAAAAAGATAACGCTTGTTGAGGAACACACTTGCAAACTATATCTAGCAGAAAAGGAAACAGCGGTGCATATATTGTGCCAATGTCCAGCCAGGGCAAGCAGGAGAATGACTGTCTTGGTTTTCCATTGGTGTTGATGATGACTTGGCAGGCAACCTCAAGCTAAATGAGCTGCCTGCAATAACAAAAGATATAGTTATACGAATGGAAGCTACTTTAGCTCTAACTCAATAACGACATTCGAGAATCGAAGGACAAAAAAGGACCCAAATCGTTTCGTGTTCAACTTCGACTAATCCTTTACTACAGTGGGGCCACATGTTGGAAGGTGCGCTGTCCCAACGCACCACAATATATATATATATATATATATATATAACGATAAAATAAACTATACTGACTGTATATTTAAATTAATATTTTATATATATTTAACATTTTATTTTCACTTATAGTAAAACATGTCATAAAGATTATACATATATTAAAGCTGAACATAGTTTTTAATATAACTTAAAAAGTTAACTACTAGACAATGTGTAAATCTACAATCAACAAAGTTTTATGTGCCGAAAATGACTAAAATATATTTAGTTATGCTTGCTTAAAGTTCTTTTTATAATCTATGAAAAGAACTTATTTCTAGAAAAGAGCTCTCTCTGTCCCTTATGTCACCCACATTGTTAATTACAAATTCAATTACCCAAAAGTAATGCTTTCATTATTATGATTAGTCCTTATTGAAAACATTTGTTGTACGTTAGAAGTCTTTATTAATAATAATTGATCTTAATATTAATGCTCAGTTTCTTAGTATTTGAGCTTCTTACAAATAAGCACAGCATCAGTGACAAATTAAAGTTCTGAGTGCGCACAAAAAGTCACGTACGCTTGCGAGTAATGTTAGTTGAATAAAACACAAATCTTAGCTTAGATGTTTTCTTTATTAAAAAAATCTTAAGATTAACTTAAAACTATTTTTTCTACAATACCTTAAGTCTTAATGCATAGCCAAATTCAGTTCACCCTGAAATGCAAAATATCTCACTTAGAACATTTTGCACCTGGGAACCGAATTTGATGTTTGCTATAGCAGACTGCTTATTAGTTATAGCGACATACATATTCACACTAATATGGTATTTATGAAAATACGAGTATGTATGTCTCCATACAATGTAATTAAAACATATGATATTTTATGCAAAAGGTATGAGAATGTAAATTGCGCGTGGGACAGAAGTAGTTTGCATATATGTAGTTCGTACACATTGTATCAGATGATCATTAAAAAGTGTATGGTCGTATAATTATTATAAGAAAATCCAATGTAAGCGAATTCCTTTTTTAAATGTATGTTAAGGTGAATAAAAATACATACATACTACAATTGTTTCGTCAGTGACAACAGATTGTTCTATTATTTTCGGATTATGACAATTAAAACCAATACAATAAAAAACCTATTTTTGTGTAATCAAAATACGACAATACTAAAGCATGCTATTTTACAAAACCTGTGTTAAGAATTTCTCTCTCAAAAGCTGTTTAAAGATTGGATAGTCTCAGGTAAAAACTGTGCACCTCAAGCGAATGGTCAGAGGATCCATTAGAAGCAAAAAACTTTTATTTCTAAGAAGTCTCAAGTGAGCGCTCTGTGTTGGTTTTTCTATATGTATAGTTACTGATTTTAACATCCATATGAAGTAAGTGCATTATTATGACTATTATTACTATTCTAAATTATTTATATACAATAATTTTATCATTTATTGTTTGAACTGTACATGTGAACGTATGAGAGATCATGTGGCATTATTTTATTTTTTATCTAGGATTTTTATATAAGGGGTATTTCCATCAACAGATAGTGATTCATAGATTATTTCTCATCTCACTGATTGAATCACTGTTCCAAATGTTTGCTATTTAGCAGTATTTGCAGGCTTATTTAGATAACCCATTTTGTGGGTTAAATGACAAGTTTTCAATCGTATTATGACGATTGCACGTTTGAGCATTAATAAATACTACTAATGTTCGTCTTGTGGTCGCATATATAAATTTATGCTATACTAATGTTATATCCGAAAATACCATTGAACTTGGGGAAGCGTAAATCTTAAGTTTACCTAGAAATGTCTCTATCGTACTGATAGTACATTGCAGAATTTTTTGGATACATTGCAAATTCTGATATTTAATTTGCGATATAACTCTTCCATCGTCTATTCGTTTTCGTATGCTTCTGTATCACACAACTTATTAATTTACTTTAAGGTTTGAAGTATATTTATCAATTCCTCATAGTTTAAAATTGAGCCTCTCTTAAATATAATTTACAAAGAAGTTTTTATTATTAATATAGCTTTTCTTGTTCCGGTTCATGTACTGACTATCGTTATTTTTCTTATTCTTCATCATAATTTCCCTATTGTTCTCGTACTACACATTCTTGAGCTATACTATTTATTATTCGAGCAAAATAAAAAAAAGTTAGTGTATTCTATAAGATAACCGCATCAAAAAATTTAGATCACATGCAAAAACTATAAGTTATATATGTTATGATGCTGGAGTTCTTTTATATATCAAATTGATGTTAATGTTTTCGAAATATATATTCAATATTCTCTTTTCACTGGCAGATAAGTCTATTGTTTATTCTATACA